CTCTCAGCTTTCACTGTGGTGTGTTTTATAGAAACTAAGACTTTCAAAGGGTGTAATTAATGCTGGCTGCTGCGTACCTCATAGCTTCCTGTAGTGAGGAAGAGTTTCCTTTGAGCAGCAGCTGCGGTCGCGACGTCCACAAAGGAGGAATGACTGAGGACAAATTCTGAGGAGAAAGATGGATAGAAAGTACAGAGAGAGGCGGGCAGGAAACAGAGAAGAAAAGGCAGAATTAAGGCATGACAGAGAGAATAAAACATTTTAAGTTATACATAAAATATATTTTCTGTGGGAGTTACCTGTTTCACATTCTGATAGAAGAAAATCAGCTTCTTGGATCCGTTTGCAGCAAAGAACTCATCAATCAGACTGAACTGGAAGCATCAGAAATAAATGATCTAAAGATTGAACACAGACTCGTGGAGAACAGAGGAACGGTTATTTCTGGGTTTGAGGTTTTAGAAGCGACTGTGGTGTTACCTTGTCATCAGAGAGGAGGGCATCCTCCACCTCCTGCTCCCCCAGGGGCCCGGCGTCCACCAGCCTGCTGATCAAGTATTTGTGTCGGGCATCCAGCGCCGCTCGTCTCTCCTCCTTCATGGCTCTCGCCTGCTTTGCTATCTCTCTCCTCGCATCGTTGGACAAGAGCACCATCCTTTTACCAGACACCTGGGGAGAAACGAGTCTCTGAACACACTGACCAGAGCAGGTTATCGATCTGACCCTGGTGATCAGAGCAAAGACATGTTCAAACTGTCAGGAGGGAAACTTTTTGTTTGCCGCCATGTTTTTCAATCACTGGAGACAGAAGTCAAGTCACCTGCAAGAACTGATTTATTTATTTTGCATTGTGATATTTTGTCCACAAGCTCTGAACACTGCACTGTCATGTCATCATTTCCGCGTCCAGCAGCTACAGAGCAACATGTGGAGTCGTGTTTGTGTCACCTGATGAAGGTGAGTCCAGTGTTCTCTCTCTGTTAGCTCTGTGTTTGGTCTCCACCAGCTCCTGAGGGAAATATCTGGCTCTTTAACTACTAATGCAGCTGCTCTCGATCTGTGTCTGTTTATGACTTTTACAGCTTCTTCTCTGAAAACGGCGCTCTGAGAGTGAACCAGAATGGTAATGCTGCAGCCGGGCGGATCAACAATGACCATTCAATGCACCAATGATAAATTAACTTCGACACAAAACACTAACAACTAAATGTTCACAGTGTTGTGTTTTTGCAAACTGATGTTAAAAGATAACTGAACTAACTGAATACCAAATGCTCCCAAGAAAACATGTTGAAAGATCTACTCAGATCACTCAGATTAATTTACTCAGTTACTCACAGCTATTAAGAGTCATGGTATTGTCTATTGATGACAGAAAGATGCAGATTTTCATTAATCTGCTCTGATACTTTAAACTACAAAACAGTAATGACATGCCTATATCCTAGCATGGCTGGTGCTGTTTACTCACAGAGGTGCCAGTGGTCGGGGACAGAGCAGCCGCCGGAGAAGACATCTGATTAATGGCTCTCAGGTTCTGGCTTCCTATTCGCCGATGTCCTCTGCCAATCACATCTGGAGATTTGGAGGGAAAACCAGTGAAAACGTACAAAAAAACAAAGAAAGAACCAAACACACCAGTAAAGCGTGAATAAGTGCTGATCACATCGCCATACTGATCTGTTTTGTGATTTTATTTTATTTTGTTATTTTGCCATTAATTCCCAACCATAAAATCAGCGCCTGTCAGCCGCGAAGGTAAGAAATCTAATGTCAGTAGGCTGCTGCTCTATTTAACTTGCATGCACTGGTTCAAGAACAGAACAGCATCAAAACCCAAATCAGATCTTGCAAGACAGTGGAAACTATTAAATAAAAGTATCCTGTGTGGATACTATTCTGTTTCCTGAAATGGTTTATTGAATAAGAAGGGACAGGTGTCTGCTAACAGTAATCGCAGTAACAGCTGCATTAGGAGTAAAATTAGTATTGTAGATTTAGTAGAAGCCACATTACTGTTCCTCTTAGGACTCAGATTAGGATCATTTTTGAGTGTCAGCATTGGAACTAAGTATCAGTAATAGTATTGTGATTAGGTTCAGTTTTAGCATTAGTATTCGTTTTAAAGCACACTTTGACTAGTTTCTGGATCAGTGAGTTGTCTATACCTCTGCGGAGGTGAATCAGAGGAGGCCTGGGTTTGCTTCTGTCTGCTCCTCCTTCCTCTTTTTCTTCCTCTCCCCCAGAGAAGTCCTGGATTCTCTGAACCCCTTCCTGGAGCTCTGTGTCCGGAGTTGGAGCAAAGTCGTTCAGCCCAGGTTTAGAGCTGCCAGCTGGGGGAACAATCGAGGGCTGCTCCCTGTGTGACACTTCGGCTGGAGACTGAGAGTCTGGATCTGCCATCTGAGACATTTTCACAACATTTTCAGCACTCACTCAATTAAATGGTGACAGAACCTTCTATTTTAAAATGTCCATACTCAGTAGTCATGTTTAACCACTACATGTTCATTGACTTATAATGAGTTAGTCAGGTCGACCTGGTAAACTTGTGAATCTGTGGCCCAGCTGGCTCTAGTTCCAAGATCTAACAAGAGCTTCACAGTCAACAGATCAGAAAATGCAGTCAGTTAGAAACGTGGTTGTGTAAAGTAATGTGGTTTAGTGAGTCCTGGGGGTCATGACCTCAACAAAGGTCACCGGCTGTATCTGAGGGGTTGTGAGATGATTTACAGAAAAGAAAAGAAGTTAAAACGTGCTTCAGACTTTTATCAAGTCTTTTCTTCTTTCATCTCTTTGGTGGAACAACTTACAACTCACTGACAACATGCGAGGAGAGGTGTACGTAGAGATTTCTTCATGTACAGGGCCATAAAGATTGAGAAACATTATGTATGTATTTAACTGAAATGTGTTTTTCTGTTCTATGGACAAGGCTCACAGAAAAGTCTCAGGAACCAGTGTACTGAAAGTCCTGAAACGAACCTCCTTTATTTTACAATACATTTAACTAACATTGATAACAACACAAGTTATTCTTATTGCCACCCTACAACTGCCCCCATCCTAATAATTCTAAAATGAACGCATTTCCGACTTTTTAATTCATTCATTGAGTCACATTTGAGATCATTATCTCTAACATCAGAAACTTCGATGGGATCAGAAAGAAGCTCTTGACTGGAAATCCTTGTGTTGAACAACCTGAATTTCCCATGTGCCCTTGAGCCACAGGGTGACCCACTGGAGCGGCTGCAGAGCGTGGCTTTAAGGCTGCAAAAGAGGAACAGAGTGGTGACTGACCTGTGCGTTGTCTGTCTGAGTCTGAGGACGAGCTGCTGCTGCTCCGAAAAAACTCTAGAGGTAGAGCGAGGCTCCGAGACAATGAGTGAGAGAGAGAAAGTCAAAACTGCAAAGGAAAAGTTTAAGTGTTGCCATGGTAACCTTTGCAGGGAGGTGTGTGTGTGTGTGTGTTGGTGACTCGGCAACTAAACACACAACAAAGCTGCCTCGTTTGCAGAAAAGACACCAGGAGATCCAGTGTGTGTTGACTGATGCAACCAGCTGTACTTTAGAGCCTGGTCCATGACGTTACATTTATTTAAAGGTCTTTTGCATGGCTGAGGGGGTTCAAAGGGTTCAGAGTCAGAATGGGGTTCATTGCCAGGTACATTTTCACATACGAGGAATTTGCCTTGGTATAAGTTGGTGCTTACAGTACACATGAAACAGAAATAGAAATTTACAAGTACACAAAAAATACAATAATACTGCATACTTTCAAGTATGTGGGTTAAAGCATAGCTTAAACACAAACAAAAGCAACAACATATGATAAAAAGCAATTGATTATATAGTTCAATGGCAGGCTGATGATGTTTTTGAGACAGAACCATGGACAGCTTTAGGAGAGAAGAGAGACTTTACTGACTAAAATACTAAATAGAAGAAAGAACAAAGAAACTCCCCTCTTAGTAGAGAAACCTTTGTCTGTTATTACGTCACTAACTGGTTATGGGGAATTTGCTATGGGAGGGTGTTTCCTACATCCATTGTTCTCCAAAGTCTTGTCTTTGTGGCTGACATAAAACTAACCTGTATCACAAAGGTCGGGAAGGTCAGTAAAGTTGACACTCAGTGATCCAGGTGCAAAAAAATAATACAGGATTGGAAGCAGCCTGTGGTACCAAAAACTACATGACTAATGAGTATCTTCAGAAATAAAACATAAAAAAACAATGGGTCTTTTATTTGATGTGGATGTGACATTTTAGAGGGTCGTCCTCAGGTAAAGGTGAAGAAGGAAACATACACTTGTATTTATTTGTGATGAAATTATCATCTCCTGATTAGATAACCTGCCACATTTACAGCAGGACAATAATTCCCAGTGTGTATGCATTAGTGGGAGTACAAAAGTTTGCATTAATATCATTTTCTGTAAGTACTCCAATGCAGTTTAAAGATATAAATTATTTTATGTTTTGTTGTACCCAATAGTAAATTATGATTTCGAAAACAAATCAAATTAGGAGATAATTCTGTGACGTTTTATAATTTATTGCCTATTAAAACCACGTGTCCACATGAAATAAGAGTAGTTTGTCTTTTTTGTGTGTGCATAATCTGGTCCGTCTTCATCAGACTACACCAATGAGCATGACTAGGTAAATGCAGACTGCTCGTACACTGTTAGCTTGAATATTTACATTAAGGCAGAAAGCAGGAGGAGTTTTTATGCGTGATATACTATGTATACTATATTAGCATTAACACAAGTACCATTTACTCAAACTAGTTACTTGAGTACATGTTACGGAGTACACATAACGGAGAAAATGTAATGTGATTTAATGCACTTAATCGACTGATGGGAATGCTTACATCGAGAGCTGAGATTACACAAGCAGTGGAATTAAATTTCACTAAAGGGTTCATCCAGCAGCTGGTGCAAATGTAAAACATGTTCTGTCAGAAGAAATACACTAGACATCCAGAGAGGGAATTTAACATTTGGCTTTATTTATTATGAGAAAGGCAAGATATATATCAGGCTTTAAGTAGTAAATATATGAAGAACAGTGTAAAGAAATTAAGGTAATGTTTCAGTAATAATGTGCCTATAAGTTGCATTTTATATTAGGTTGTTGTTGCATGTTATAAGAAACAAGTATATTTTCTTTTATTAAAAAGGTTATGTTCTGCTTTTAGGCTTTTTCCCTTCACTTTTATTGTGTTATACAAATATTTTTGTGCATGTAATAAGTTTGCAAAGTGAAAAAGCCAAAGGTCCACCCCAAAGGGAGTTCCCATCTCCCACAGAAAAGAGCTCAATTGTAGTCCAAGCTATTGACTTTGTAACAAGGATCATAATGCTCGCCTAGCTGCTAGTATGGCACGCCCTCAACCCAAGCTCGTTGAATAATAAATTAAAATCAGGTTACATACTCTGCAGGCAGTGACTGGACATAAACGTTACGTATGAAAGATGCATTTGTTACAGATTATTATTATAACTCTTGTTCCAGTCCAGGTTGCAAAGCTGGTTCGGGAACTTGTACAACTGAACCGAAGCTGTGTTTAAAGGCTCGTCACTGCTTCTGATTGGTTAGTAGTTCTTAACTAGGCACTGCTCAAGTGCAACTCCCGACAAAGATAGAATAGAAGTGAGATGCCTCACTTGGTAGTTAAAACGGTGCATTCAACACACAGGGTGACACACAAAATGTGCTCTGGTCTTTTTAAAATTAAACCATGTAAACCTGTTCTGGCACAACCCTAAACAAAATTATGAAATGAGCAGAATATCTTTAAGACAACATATATATGCATGCTATATGTGGTCAATCTATTCATATAATCTTTATTATACATGTAAAAAAATCAAAGTGTGCCTGCAGTTGCTGCATCCAATCAAGAAGCTCCACTCCCTTCTCCCTCGCACCCCTCCCTTTCTTAGAGAGGCGCCAGCAAGTCTGTAGGTTAGCTGGACCGAGTAGAAGTTAGATAATGGAAAACCAGGTGCTACAGGGTGGAGTAATTTTAACACTAAAGGAGTGCAATATGCCAAGAGGGCTTATAGAGAGTGAAGTGCTAAGCAGTATGGAAGAGATACAAGGCCGAAGGTGAAAAAATAATCAACTCCCAAACTGAATTAACCAAAATAAATAACCAAAGAGTTGCACGAAAAATTAAATCACAGAAGATTGGTGACAGAAAGCTGTTTGAAACAGGTCAGTGATGAAACAGAGAGTGTTATTTTGCATGCGTATATTTAGAAAATTACAGCGCTTATTAAGGTTAATAAATCGGTATACCAGCCTCTGCGCAAATATAAATGTTCTTTCTAGTCTTTTCGACCACTCAAAGTGCTTTTACACTATATCACATTCACACCAGAAGCAATTCGAGGTTCAGTATCTTGCCCAAGGACACTTAAACATGTAGCCCGGAGGAGTCGGGAATTGAATAGCTGACCTTCTGATTAATGGGAAACCCGCTCTCACTCCTGAGCCACAGCCGCGCAACAGTTTTTAAACAGTACCACTCGAAGTGGGTGAAACCACACATAAAGGGTTATGCCAGCAGATGTGCGTAAAGTGTGGAAAAGTTGATTCAGATATTAAAGGTGTATTTTTATTTTTTTTGTCTTGCATGATATTCATATGAAAGAAAAAAAAAAACAGCAACAGACCGATTTAACATGTCAAAGGTAATAATGAATAAATATCACAATAGTCCAAAAATGCAAATTATAAAATGTATTAACATAAAAAGGTTAATGCATACTAGTATAGTGTATTGTAATTTGACCCCACACATCCAGAGGAACACACAGGGATGATGGTGGACTTGACTTTGTGTCTGACAGTGGAGCTGATCTCAGAGCAGTTCAGACTGCAGCACTGTTGGGATTCCTCTGTCAGTCACTGCTGGATGAAGCTCTCCTCTCCACTCTACCTCCCAGTAACATGGCCCAGTCAGAGCCTCTCCACACACAAGCTGATGCTGCTGCTTCAACCTCTCTGGATCATCAGGACACAGCTGATCCTCTCTCAAAACACACTGAGTGCTTATCAAATCTTAAATGGCTCCCAGCTGTTGAGAGAACAAGAAACAATATTCATCATAAATCAGTGTTTACAGAGACTCCCTTCATCAATTATAATCATTAGTTCAGAAACTGTTCAGTGAGGGATTTACTATTTGTTACATGAATGAACTACTGTTAAATCACTGTGTTTTGAAATATCACACAAATAAACATGCTGGCTGGCATCAAAAATATTGTGACAGGGAAAGATATATAATAATTGTGATCACTGGACTTCAGCAGAGGGGTCTCATTTATAAAACCGTGCGTAGAAACCTCACTAAAACTGTACGTGTGCTCAAAAGCCAAAAATGGCGTACGCCAAAAAATATCCAGACTTATAAAACCGTGCGTACGCACACTTGTAAGCAAGTTCCCTTTATAAATCACAATCAACTTGAAATGTGGGGCATGTGAGGGAGCTCCATGTCTGACCCTCCAAACACCCACAGTTGCCTATAAATGGTCAGTGAAACGCCGCTCATTAATATTAATACGTCCTGACTGCAGGAAGAAAAGGAGGCAAACTCTGACAGAAAAGCTACAAAATGAATTTAACTTAGTGTGACACTGATGTTCCTTTAGGTGAAACTGATGCATGTTGTTTGGTGGGTAAAAAAAAACACCCTTTCACCCAACGCTGTGCACCAGTGGAGAGGAGGCACCGGAGCTCCACCCATTTATAACAGATCTGCAGGAAGGGGCCTCCCTGAGTAGTGATGTCACTGGCTAGAGGGGGACACACACTCACACACAGATGGGATGACCCAGGTACTAATTTGGATTTCCTCATTTGAAAAGAGAGTAAACCAAAATCATTGCTTGTGTCTATTAAAGAGCCCATGAGTAAAAGAGAAATATGACTTTTTGTAAATGACAATAAAATAAAAGTTATTTTTCCGTAACGTGTTTTTACAAACAGCGCATCACATCCACACGCTGGTGCAGCGTTTGGCTCGATAAGGCAACAAACATGTGATAACAATCCATGAAACTATGCACTGAAACGGAATCAGTTTAAATGTAATTTGTCCTCCTGTTCACCTTATTTATGAGAATAAATTTCGATGCATGCAAGAATTAATTAATATGATTCTTGATTAAACTGTCCAACTTATTTGAGGTGTTCTTTTGCAGAAACATATCTCCATTTTGTTCTGTGTCTTAGTCCTTAGTCTTATGTCTCCATGTTTTAGTGTAGTCCTGTCTCCTGTTTAGTCCTGTCTCTGTCCATGCCCTGATTTTGCAGTCTTTCCATGTTTTGCGTTTTACTTCTGTCCCTGTGTGTTTCCATATGCTTTACTTCCTGTTTTATTTTGTAGTGTTCTGTTCTCATGTGTCCTTGTCTAGCGTTGTTCCTGTTGATTTCCTGATGTGTGCCTCAGTTGTGTTCAGTGTTTGTGACGTCCTTGTCTTATGTTGAGTGTTTAGCCGTACCTTGGTTTGCTGTGTTTTGGATTGTACCTTGTTCCCTTGGGGATTACGCCTTTATTTGGACTGCACTTGCAAGTAAACCTGAGTATCGTTTTATTAGAGAATAAATCTTTTATTAAACTGCATCCTCTGTCTGTGTCTACTCTCAACTACTGCACTCAACCTTCTCCAGACAGTAGGATGTCAACAGTAAAATGGACCCAGCAGACTAGGCTAGCCACCTGCCTGTTCCCCGGCCTGATAGCGCTCCAGCGGCTAGCCACCTGCCTAATTCCCAGCGAGCTAGTGCCCCAGCGCCTAGCCATCCACCTGGCCCGCCCGTCTGCCTGCCTGACCCCCCCTAACAAAGACTCTGGGACTATGAATCTCCTGGACTTCTTTGCCATGCAGGCCAGGGAGTCAGAAGAAGCACGGGCAGCCAGTCTGCGGCCTACAAGCCTGGAGGCTAGTTTTCCCCCGGATTCCTCGCCTGATCCACCTCCAGAAAGGCCTCCTGGAGGGAGACGAGGTTCCCGCCGCTGCAGACTGGGGGGGCCAGGTGTCCAGAATCTTTATCAGGATATGTATTATTATTTGGATATGAAATTGTACATATAAGTATGAGACTTTAGACATATTGCACATCCCTAACTGAAACCAGTATGGACTGACTCCAACCCTCTACTGACCTCAGAGTCTCCAGTCTACAGTGTGGACTCTCCACAAGGTCACACAGTAGCTTCACAGTTGAATCCTGCAACTTGTTTCCTCGCAGCTCCAGTTCTCTCAGATGGGAGGGGTTGGAGTTCAGAGCTGAGGCCAGAGCAGCACAGCTGATCTCTGACAAACTGCAGAAACTCAGTCTGAAAAAACAAAAAAATATGTGTCTATATCTTAAGAAGCAGGTTGTTTTGTTTAAAAATGTTTGAAAAGTCAAGAAATCATTCTCAAAAGATCCACAACATTTTCATTTCATGCAATTGTAATTCCATTTGAGAAACATGTAGAGTTTATTTTGAAAGTCTCAGTCAGTGTGGTGGTTTAGCGTGTGGCGTACTTGCGGCAGTTTGTTTTTAGCATAGTGGTGCACACAGTTACTTTAGTAAATCCCACAATGACGTGGATTTTTTTTACTTGTTCTTGCTTTTACATTTTTTTTATATTTTCCTGTTGCTTTTATGTTTTATGTAAAGCACTTTGAATTACCTTGTTGTTGAAATGTGCTATACAAATTGCCTTGCCTTCATTGTGTGGACGCTTTTGTTAAAGTTGCATGTGCTTCATGCTGTAGAATCACGTATGGGAGAGGACGCTGGCATCTGGACTATAACATCCTTCTTCACCGTCTCTGACTTTATCCACAACTCATCCTCCCTCACTGGGAGAACTGAACATATTGTCTTTGCTAAATCCCTTACACTCAAAGTCACCTTTGGTGTTCCTCAAGGCTCAGTGCTCGGCCCCAGGGATGAAGGGATGAAGGGATGAAGCAAACCTTTCTGCAGCTAAACAGCTCGAAGACTGGAGCCATACTAGTCAGCACCCCACACCAGGTCAGCTCGTCCGTCAATACCAGCATCACCTTCTCTGCCAGGATATTCCACACTTGTCCATGCCTTTGTCTGCTCCAGGCTGGACTACAGAAATGCGCTCCACACCAGGATCCCTGGCAAACGCCTCAAAAAGCTGCAGTACATTCAAAACACCGCTGCTAGGATCCTGATGAGGGTGCGCAAACACAACCACATCACCCCCATCCTCAAATCACTCCACTACCTTCCTGTCTCACTCCGGATTGAGTACAATGTCTCCCTCCTCACCCACCAGTGCATCCTTGGCGACACAACACCCCACCTCAAAGAACTCCTCACCCCACAAACTTCTACTCATATCAACCCTTTTCCTGAACTGATTTCCCACCTGATTAAGTCCCTGGAAAGGCTGGTCCTGACCAAGCCGGAAGCTTCCGGTCTGAGACGTGACTCCAATGCGGAATGCCTGAAACCTGCATTCTATTTTGAAAGGCCAGCAGGGGGCGACTCTTCTTGTTGCAAAAAGAAGTCCGGTTCCATTAGAAACAATGGTAAAATTACCCTACTTCTCAGCTGAATAATTACGTCAGTAAACACTTTCCTGATGAGTTTATGGTCCCAATCGCTAGATTCATGTCTTCTTCAACACAAAATGATGTTCATTTAGTAAATTATGGTCTCATTTATTTTAAAATAGATCATAAAGCAGAGTATGTTTCAGGGCGGGATTATCTATTATTGACATTTCCTGGTTGCAAAAACTCAAGCTCGCGGCGGCCTATCGGCCAAACTCGAGGCTTCAAGATGGCAGTCCGCAAACCAATGGGTGACGTCACAATGACTACGTCCATTTCTTATATACAGTCTTTGGTCCTAATACACATATAGCCCTTGGTTAAATCATCACCTTCAATTTTGCTAGCAGTGGAAGGTGGGAGTAAATCAATTCATAAAATGCTTCGACACAAATTCTTTGCATCGATGCTTCGTTTAATCCATGTAACTATACAGCACAGTGTTTCGCAGAAACATTTATTACTGTCGCACATTGCGTTTACGCTGTGAACACAACGTGATTATGATGTTGCTGTTTGCAAAGTGGGGGAAGAGAGAGAAAACCGCGAGGGACAAAAAAGAAAGTGTCCAAAGACTGGGATTATTTCAAGATAAAGAAAACAACAACTCTGTAATGTTACCGTCCATCCATCATAAAACAAAACTGATGTTGCCTCGGCAACAGCACGACAGCAGCTGATCAGAAAGCGACTGTGCCAGCGGACCACAGACAAGGTAACAGTAACAGCAACTTTAGCATTTAGCTGAAATCATGATTGATTGTTGAGTTAAATCCAAAGTAAGCCACAGTCCTCAACTGTAAATATGCCCACGTGCATTTGTTGTTCTCCTTTTTGGGCTGTGAGTTGTAACCTCACCGTCAAGAGTTAACTGGGTGTCGGGGAGCTGCACCTTTTAACTCCCCTGCAGCTCTCTCTGTAGCTCAGACAATCCCTGCTACCTGCGTGTGCTAATCCATCCTTTCAACCATATTCTTTGTCTTTATAATTGCCATCTTTATAATAAACAACAGCTGTTTCGTTTGCAGGATCGCTTATTTCCCGTTTCACATTTCATGTGTGTCTTCTTGATAAAAGTGGTTTGGAAACCAGCGTTGGGTGACATAGCTGTTGTCAGCTCCTGTAGTGTGTGTGTCCCTGTCACCAGTCAAGAAGTGTGAACGCCACAACGACTTCAAGACTGCCGCCAAGCAAAAGTACTTCTTAAATGAAGCATCGATGAATCGTTGAAATAATCTATAGAAGCTTCGAATACTAAAATCATCGTTAGCTGCAGCCCTACCATGTAGATTCCAAATATTACAACTTTCTGACTTATGGGACAAAATGGGACATAATGTGCAATATATAAATCTAAAAAAATGTAAACGTACTTTATTGTCACATACACACACAAAATTCATCCTCTGCATTTAACCCATCCCTGAAGGGAGCAGTGGGTAGCTGTACAGTGCCTGGGTCCAACGGCAGTGACTGGAGAACCTACCTAACATGATTTTGATGGTGGGGGAAACCAGAGCACCTGGAGAAAACCCACGCAGGCATGTGGAGAACATGCAAACTCCACACAGAAAGGCCTGGTTTAACCAGGATTTGAACCCACAACCTTCTTGCTTCTTAGGCAACAGCGCTAACCACTGCACCACCGTGGCGCCTAAATGTTCTATGATTATGTCCATAATCATAGAACATTTTAAATAAACTATATACACTTTTATAGGGTGGTTGTGGCTCAGAAGGTAGGTCTGCATGTGGAAGTATCCTTGGGAAAGATACTGAACCTCAAATGATCCTTACCTCAAATTGCCCCTGATGGCTGTGCGTGTGTGTGTGTGAGAATGTATGAATGTGTTTGAATAGGGTGAATGTGACATGACGTGTGAAGTGCTTTGAGTGGTCAGATTAGAAAGGCACTACATAAGTACCTGTAGTCCAAATTGTCCAACTTACCAAGAATGATCACTGCCTGCCTGTTGATATTTTTGGCAATGTGTATATTTTGTATTAAACACTATATTTGCACTCTACTACTTTGTTTACAACTGTTTGTCCTCTGGATTTAACCCATCCTAATTAGGATTTTTCTTAAATGTGGTGCTCAACATTGCTCTGCCACAGTCAATTGACATAACTACTGAAGACTCAGTGTCAGTATACCATCAGCCTTATGTCTGCACTTTAGTGTCACCACAACTTTAACATCATATTAATTTTAGCACAGAAGGAAAAAATGGTGTCTGACCTCAGAGTCTCCAGTCTGCAGTGTGGACTCTCCAGAAAACCACACAGCAGCTTCACTCCTGAATCCTGCAGCTTGTTGTCACTCAGGTCCAGCTCTCTCAGATGGGAGGGGTTAGACTTCAGAGCTGAGGCCAGAGAAGCACAGCTGATCTCTGACAAACTGCAGAAACTCAGGCTGAATAAAGAATAAATTATGTAACGTTAGGAGACAATGTTCCTGCTTGAAATCATTCAGTGTTTAATAAACTGTTCAGAGCTGAAGAAGGTTTAGAATGTAGAAGTTTAGAAAATGTAAACTTCAAACACCTGAACCCAACAGGATGCAGGTTCAAACTGTAAAATACTAAAACGTAAAAAGAACCTTCATTAATATTAATGACAACATGCTGCTAATTCAACAAAGAAATATTGATTTCGACTCGAATTCTGCAGCTCTACCATGCTCCATCTATACAAACTCATGTTGTGCAGTCAAACACAAAATAAAAACCCACACAAACTGAGTTAAGATTCGATTCAAGATCCCAAAGTCTCCAAAGATGTGAAATATGTCAGGATGAACTTTGGGAAATGTTGCAGTAAATAAATATTAAATATAGCCACAAGCGGCAATGATCGGGAAGCAACAGGTCGCAAAAAAATGCTTTTTCACTCAAGATAGTGTTATGCTCAGATATCTAATGTCAACAACTGGTCAGCGTGAGCCAGCATTAGCCTGCAAATATTACTTGAGTCAACTAAAATACATCACAGTATTTTTAACGTTTTGCAGTAATGTTAGTTTAACTGTCCAATAGGATGAACGCCAACTCCGGGTTTGTTTTTGTATCCCAAACAAAGCACAGGTCTTTCTATGACTGAAATGCCTGTCCGATGTTGACTGTGTTTTTTCCCCTGTGTCAATCTGATTCTCCTTTAGCCTGACAGGCTTCAGCACATAAAACGTTTTTGTTGTTTTTTATCCTTACATGGAGTCTGTGTTGTGCTGATTGCATTTTTTGGTGATAGCGAACATCATTTTGTTTGCTGTGTTGCTGCTGTTCAGTCCAGAATCAAAATGTCACAGCCTACAAAAAGCCAATGAATTTCGTGTAAAATCTGACCTGATTTCTTCACATAAGAAGCAGCACACAGACTGTTGTAGGTAACTGAGAAAGCTGGCGAATGGTTCATTATTATTTGAGGTTACAACCTGTTCACAAATAGGCAATAAAAATGTAATTAAAAACTACACATAGCCCCTTTAAACTTCTCAAAACATCATTTGCATGCCTGACATACTCACTGCACACTTGACATTTTCAAAAGCATTTAAATCTTAGTTATAATGTTATCAATTTTGAAAAGAACTACCTCATTAATATCAGACCCCCCTCTGAAGTTTAGTGTCACCACAACTTTGACATCATATTAATCTCACACAAAAGTATAAATTGGTCTCTGACCCCAGAGTCTCCAGTCTACAGTGTGGACTCTCCAGTCCAGCAGACAGCAGGTTCACGCCGAAATCCTCCAGATTGTTTTTACTCAACTCCAGCTCTCTTAGATGGGAGGGGTTGGACTTCAGAGCTGAGGCCAGAGAAGGACAGCTGATCTCTGACAAATTGCAGAGACTGGATCTGAAAAAGAGTGATTTATCCAGCGTAGAATTTTCTTCTTACATTATTGTTTTAAATATGGAGCTCAACATTGCTCTGCCACGGTCAACAGACTAAATGACTGAAGAAGAAAATAGACTTTAGCATTAAGAGACTCAGTGTCGACCAGTATAATATTAGCCTTATGTCTGCACTAAATCATAATAACCTCAGCACAGAAGTAAAGAAATGGTGTCTGACCTCAGAGTCTCCAGTCTGCAGTGTGGACTCTCCAGAAAACCACACAGCAGCTTCACTCCTGAATCCTGCAGCACATTTTCACTAAGGTCCAGCTCTCTCAGATGGGAGGGGTTGGACTTCAGAGCTGAGGCCAGAGAAGCACAGCTGATCTCTGACAAACTGCAGCGCCACAATCTGAATAAAGAACAAATTATGAAGATCAAAGGTTTTAATGTGTAGCTCAACTTTACTATGTCCTAATCAATGAGCTTTATGAGCTAAAATAAGTAGAGGGACTTTGTCATTGTGTTATTGTGGACCATCATAATGTCAGCCTTCTACAGGCATCATCCGAATGTCAGCACAACATTCATACACCTATTCATGTCAACACAGGTCAATAACATGCTGCAGATCTCAGACTATGACTATGTAATAATTAGCAAATACAACATGTTGAATTAAAACATTTCTTCTATCCATCCACCCATCAGCCACCATTAACTTTTCCAATTTATTTGTTGTTAGTACCATGTGCAGCTGAGTTTTACTAGTAATTCTCATCACCACTGCCATCTACATCAACACACAAGCCGCATCTCTCTCTCTCATTCATATATATATATATATATATATCTCCATCTCTCCCTCCACACACACACACATTTTGGTTTTATTAAACTGCGCACTTTTTACGGTTTGTAATCGCACATGACGACATCACGACTTCGATATATATATATATATATATATCTCAACACATTTTAGATACAGAGGGATTCACTGCTGATTTTGCAGGTTTTCCTACTTACAAAGCATGTAGAGGTCTGTAATTTTTATCATAGGTACACTTCAACAGAGAGACAGAATCGTTTGCATTTTATTGCATGACACAAGTATTTGATACATCAGAAAAGCAGAACTTAATATTTGGTACAGAAATGTTTGTTTGCAATTACAGAGATCATACGTTTCCTGTAATTCTTGACCAGGTTTGCGCATACTGCAGAAGGGATTTTAGCCCACTCCTCCGTACAGACCTTCTCCAGATCCTTCAGGTTTCGGGGCTGTTGCTGGGCAATACAGACTTTCACCTCTCTCCAAAATTTTCTATTGGGTTCAGATCTGGAGATGCTTCTTATGGAGCCACTCCTTAGTTGCCCTAGCTGTGTGTTTCGGGCCGTTGTCATGCTAGAAGACCCAGCCAGACCAATATCTTCAATGCTCTTACTGAGGGAAGGAGGTTGTTTGAAGAAAAGCATCCCCAAAGGATGATGTTTCCACCTCCATGCTTCATAGTTGGGATGGTGTTCTTTGGGTTGTACTCATCCTTCTTCTTCTTCTTCCAAACACAGCGAGTGGAGTTTAGACCATAAAGTTCTATTTTTGTCTCATCAGACCACATGACCTTCTCCCATTCCTCCTCTGGATCATCCAGATGGTCATTGGCAAACTTCAGACGGGCCTGGACTTGCGCTGGTTTGAGCAGGGGGACCTTGCGTGTGCTGCAGGATTTTTCTTTGAGACTGTGGTCCCAGCTCTTTTCAGGTCATTGACCAGGTCCTGCCTGGCTTGCCAGTGTGTGGACAGGTGTCTTTTATACAGATAACGAGTTCAAACAGGTGCAGTTAATACAGGTAATGATTGGAGAACAGGAGGGCTTCTTCAAGAAGAACTAACAGGTCTGTGAGAGCCGGAATTCTTACTGGTTGGCAGGTGATCAAATACTTATGTCATGCAATAAAATGCAAATTAATTATTTAAAAATCATACAATGCGATTTTCTGGATTTTTGTTTTAGATTCCGTCTCTCATAGTTGAAGAGTACCTATGATAAAAATTACAGACCTCTACATGCTTTGTAAGTAGGAAAACCTGAAAAATCAGCAGTGTATCAAATACTTGTTCTCCCCACTGTAGATCCCACAGTTTTCTTACAAATACCAATCCAGTTTGAGTTCAGACTAAATTGACTGACAAACTATAAAAAAGAGCTGTGATTTGTGCTCGGAAACACAGAAAACAACAGAATTGAAGACCATTTAAAACTTATGTTATGGATTTAAATTTTGTAGATACAGTATACACTAGACAATAGCAAAATACATGAACTAACTTCAGAGTCTCCAGTCTACAGTGTGGACTCGCCAGTCCAGCAGACAGCAGCTTCACTCCTGAATCCTGCAGTTCGTTGAAATTCAGGTCCAACTCTCTCAGATGGGAGGGGTTGGACTTCAGAGCTGAGGCCATGACTTCACAGTGAGTCTCTGAGAGCCCACAGCCAGTAAGTCTGTGATGACAGAGAACATAAAATTTAAAGGTAAATCAAATCTGACACTATCTATGTATCTATATCTCTCTGGGCAGTAGTTTCAGTTTACTTGGAAACTTTAAAATACTTCCACACTGCCGACATATCAACGTAATTATTCAGTAAAATTTGTTAGGTCTTTGTACTTATTAGGCTGAACACCGAAAGTGCTTTTTGTTGCTATTTTCAGGTGATTATTTTGGTGGCCCGAACAGTCGGTATATCCCTAGTCACAAATCTCTAACAGAGACCCAACAATCCCCACCATGAGCAAGCACCTGGCGACACAACAGCGTGCTGTAATTTCTGTTTGTTAAATGTTATTTTAACATGATTTTCAATGAGCTATAAAATTACTGGAGGTTGTAAATGGACAGAACAGTCCTTCATATGAAATAGTTTAGAAACTGCAGAGAAAAAAAATAGAATAGCAATAACTGCATGAAAATGATGTTAGTTCCAGCAGATGACAGATATGACATGTCTGTGTGTCTGTAAAAGAAATAATAAACAGATACTGTAATACTGATGCTTCAGCTTTACGTTGCTTTACAGTGTTGATAATCACATCTGGACTTACCGAGCCTTTCTGCAGTTCCTCACAGCTGGAATCAGTCTCAGTCGTCCCTCCTCTGATGTGTTGTACTTCTTCAGGTCCAACTCATCCAGAACCTCCTCTGACATCTGCAGCATGTAGGCCAGAGCTGAGCAATGGATCTTAGAGAGTTTCTTATCTGATCTGTTCTCTGACTTCAGGAACTCTTGAATCTCCTGATGTACGGAGTGGTCGTTCATCTCCGTCAGACAGTGGAAGATGTTGATGCTTCTGTCAGGAGAGATCTTATTACTGTTCATCTCCTTCAGGTTGTTGATGGCTCTCTGGATGATTTCTGGACTGTTGTCTGTCTGACCCAGCAGGCCTCCTAAGAGTCTCTGGTTGGACTCCAGAGAGAAGCCATGAAGGAAACGAACAAACAGGTCCAGGTGGCCATTTTTACTTTTGAAAGATTTTGTGACTGCTCTCATCAGGAAGACAACCAGAGATGATTCACTGTAATGTTTCCCCAGAAAATTCTTCAGTACTGTTGTGTTGCTGCTGGTGTAACAGTGGAACATGTAGACTGCAGCCAGAAACTCCTGAACGCTCAGATGAACAAAGCAGTAGACTGTTTTCTGGAAGATTACACTCTCTCTTTTGAAGATCTCTGTACAAACTCCTGAGTACACCGAGGCTTCTGTGACATCAAGACCACACTGCTCCAGGTCTTCTTGGTAGAACATGATGTCTCCTTTCTCCAGATGTTCAAACGCCAGCCTCCCCAGCTTCAGAAGAACCTCCCTGTCAGTCTCCATTAGCTCCTGTGGACTCGTCTCATGTCCCTCATCATACTTCTGCTTCTTCCTCTTTATCTGAACCAGCAGGAAGTGTGAGTACAGGTCAGTCAGGGTCTTGGGCAGCTCTCCTCTCTGCTCTGTAGTCAACATGTGCTCCAGAACTGTAGCAGTGATCCAGCAGAAGACCGGGATTAGACACATGATGTGGAGGCTCCTGGAGGTCTTGACGTGTGAGATGATTCTGCTGGACAGCTCTTCATCACTGACTCTCCTCCTGAAGTACTCCTCCTTCTGGGCGTCAGTGAAGCCTCGTACTTCCGTTACCCTGCCGACACACGAAGGAGGGATCCGATCGGCCGCCGCAGGTCGAGAAGTTATCCAGACGAGAGCCGAGGGAAGCAGATTCCCCTTGATGAGGTTTGTCAGCAGCAGGTTGACTGATGAATTCTGTGTGACATCAGACACAACCTCATTGTTGTGGAAATCCAATGAAAGTCTGCTTTCATCCAGGCCGTCAAAGATGAACAACAGTTTCCAGACAGCGAGCTTCTCTGCTGGGACCTTCTGTAATGTTGGATGGAAAACATGGAGCAGCGTGAGGAGACTGTGCCGCTCATCTTTGATCAAGTTCAGCTCCCTGAACGAGAGCAGAACCAGCAGACCGACATCTTGGTTTCCCGAGCCCTCTGCCCAGTCCAGAGTGAACTTCTGCACTGAGAAGGTTTTTCCAACGCCAGCGACGCCGTTGGTCAGAACCACTCTGATGGCTCTCTGTTGGCCAGGTAAGGCTTTAAAGATGTCCTGGCACCTGATTGGAGTGTCATGGAGGGTCTTCTTCTTGGAAGCTGTCTCAAGCTGCCTCACCTCATGCTGGGTATTAACCTCTTCACTCTGTCCCTCTGTGATGTAGATCTCTGTGTAGATCCTGTTGAGGAGGGTTCCACTTCTTGTTTCATCACTTCCTTCAGTCACACGTTCACATCTCCTCCTCAGATTGATCTTATGTTCATCTAAAACCTCCTGCAGACCACCACTCACTAAAAAGAAAGATAAAAAAGTATGAGATTAGAAAATAGTGTGAAGTGCGAAAAGAAAAATTGACAATCATATGATGCATATATAGAGAAGTAAAGAATATAAAGTCCACCTGAAATAACAAGTAGTGTTGTGGTGTAAATGTGAAAACCTTCGAAGCACCTCAGGAAGGCGAATTTAGGGTTAAGTCGACCTTAGAGGATATGTAGCCTAAATGTGGAGAATGAATGCAGACTGAGAAGGTAGAATTTAGTGCCAAACGTCTAGATGTGGGAGAAAGTTGCCAGTCTTTGATTAATATTAATCTATCAACGTGAATAAACTGGTGTTGAGCCAAGGGAAGGGAGTCTCCGGGGAAAAACTGCGTGATGGCTGAAGAATGAGATCAACCTTTGTTTAGGATCTCTAGGACTACATTGTTTTCACAGTGGTTAAGCATGGACTTCCTAGACCATTCATGTCCCCAAAGAATGGCGGGTATGTTGGGCATAAAATGGGGTATAGCTTGTGAAGCACTGGCAAACGACAGAAGGTCTGTACAAAGCCCAGAGATGGGAACTCTGAGGGACAAAGAGAAGAAAAATACCTCCCACTTCCCACCAAAACTTATGGAAGGAGCTGCGTCTGTGGACAGTCTTTTGAGACCATGTTGCTGCTGTCTCTCGGTTGTGCCGCTTTGCTCTGTACAACAAAAGAAAAATCAGGCCCTATCTATCGCCTCGACTACTGCAATACCCTCCTAGTAGGTCTTCCAGCTTGTGCGGTGAAACCCCTACAAAAAGGATCAGAACGCAGCAGCGCATCTGGTTTTTGATCAGCCCAAAAGGACTCCATTACTCAGTGACCTCCACTGGGTACCCATGGCCTCCCGAATCAAATTCAAGTCACTAATGCTTAGGATTGTGGCAGGCATGACAAATGCTGAGAATTACTTCTGTATCTGGATGGAAACCATATGTGAAGCCATTGATAAAAAAGTGAACAAGCTGTCTATCTGGTGGGTTTTGTAAAGTAGTGACAAGGATGTTAACCATAAGCTTATCACACATTTCTTGCTGCAGACAATCAGACGCATCATTGGTGTCACTCCTTGGGTGTTTCGGTTCTTGAAACGACACCCTCATCTAGGCGACCTGACCAGAGGTTGATCAGATCTTGACCTGTGTCCGAGTGGCCTTCTAGTGACTCTACTCGTCACCCCTTTTCAGCCAGAGCCATCGGGATGCTCTTTTGGTTTCTGCGAAACCTTGTTATACCCAGGGTTCCGTAGGCCATCAGCAGGCACCTGGTCCTCCACCTATTCCTGCGGCAGTTCTTCACCAGCTCCTGGTACTGTGGGGACAGGTACTCCTGGCATCATCCGCAGAAGGAGCAGACTTGAGGAGATGGCAGTTGGAAAGAGTGCAGCCTAGGTGATTAAGATTCTTGCAGACCATCCTGCCCCACTGATAGAGGATTGGCCTTCCCCTGTTTTTCCACTTCAAGTCAATTTTTGGTGTGTCCACTTTTTGAATTCAAAACAACATCAATTATTCCAGGTACAACTGCACACAGTTTTTGAAGGAACTCGACAAGTAGATTGGCCCAAACATGTTGGAGCAAATACCCACATTTCTTCTGTGGATTTAGGCAGCCTCCTTTGCTTCTCTCTCTTCATGTAATCCCAGACAAACTCTATAATGTTGAGATCAGGGCTCTTTTGGGGCCATACCATCACTTCTAGGACTCCTTGCTCTTCTTTAAGCTGAAGATAGTTCTTAATGACTTTCACCGTATGTTTGGGGTCGTTGTCATGCCGCAGAATAAATTTGAGGCTAGTCAGATGCCGTCCTGATGGTACTGCATGATGAATAAGTATCTGCCTGTACTTCTCAGCATTGAGGAGACGATTCATTCTGACCATATCCCAACCCTTTTTGAACCTTCACCATGCTTCAATGTTGCCTGCAGACAGTCATTCTTGTACAGCTCCCCAGCCCTTCGTGGAACAAACTGCCTTCTGCTACAGCCAAATATTTCAAATTTAGTTAGTTAATAGTTCTGATGCTGTTTTGAAGGCAAAGGGAGGTCACACCAAATATTGATTTGTTCACCCACTTTGCTTTTTGGTAATTGATAAAAAATAATGTATATGTCTATTTTTGAAAGTATTCTTACTTTACAGCATTTTCCACACCTGCCTAAAACCTTTTTAAAGTACTTTATACCAACGGGCCAAGGGATGATGTGAGGTGGGGCTGTGACAGGCGATAAACGATTAAAAACTGGGGCACTACTTGGAAGAGGAAGAGGGAAACGAGTGAGCTGATGGAGTGGTGACTGTGCATGCTGTGGTGGTGTGGGAGTGGGCTCCGCATGGAAAAGGTTGTACAGGCTGCAAAGATGGTAGTAGAGTTCGGAGTAGAGGGCACCCCAGTAATGTTCCCTGGTTAAATTGTTGCATCCGGCCAGCTGCCTGGCTCGCAAAACAGATATGGTAGCTTTAAAAACCTGTTCTTCCAAAACATAAGGGCATGGTCTAGTATAGATAACTGACTAGCTCAGATATCCATCCAAGACTGAAAAACACAGACACCAAAAAATGAAACAGCAAGGATAAATTCCGCAGGAGTTAAGTCCTTTGACCATAAAGGTAAAGAATAAGCTGCACCGAACTGAGATTAGTCTAGTCCTGGGCTGGCTAATGTCTATTATGGGTGGCTGAAGGAGCTGGGCTAAATCTACATAATTAGTAGTGGAGAAAGGAGAAGTGCAATAAATTGCCAAAGCTTGCTGACTTTGTATTGCTGTGTGCAAAGACAGGGGGCACTGTCATAAAAGCAAATGAAAAAAAAAAAGGAGAACACAGGACAAGTGATATAGAGCAGACATGTCTACTAACATGCAGTTAAACTTAGGTAAGTAACTTTATAAAGTAAGTAGTGTTTTCAGACATGACGACATCCAGCCTTACTTTGTACAGAGCTGCTCTGACTGGCTGTCTGCAGTCCAGCTCTTGTTCTGGATCTTTTTCCACACTGGGGACAGGAGGAGTCTCCTGATGAAGCAGACTGGTCCCAGTATGAGGTGATGCACCGTCTGCAGAACCAGTGTCCACAGCTGGTAGAGACTGGATCCTTCAGGACGTCCTGACACAAAGCACAGCAGGACGGCTGCTCCTCCACAGAAACAGGACTCCTCTTCCTCTCTCTGTGGAGAAGAACCCATTCTTTACAACACATTACAATGGTGGTAACAAACCCACAGCTCACAAGTTCCATTCAGCTTGTTCCCTACATATAAATGTGGCTATTCTATTCACGTCTTGCTTTTTTAAAATTGCTTTTCATAAATGAAAATTATTGTCCAAAAATTAGACAATCATCATAATCATAAATCAATGGAACAAAACCACATACACTTACCTTGTAACTTAATAAAATTTTATTACCAAAGCGTTTGCAAAGCTCGCTACAAAGACAAAGTACTGTCTGCGGTCCGTTGTGTGAGAAGATGATGATCAAACCTGGCACCGCACTTCACTCTCCAACATCTGGAGTCCATATACTGTATAGCTACGCAAGAATTCTGATCTTCGATTTCAGTTCTGCTTTTAATACTATTAACCCTCTGAAGGTGTTCAAGAAACTACAGGACATGATCATTAACACTTTACTGTGCCTCCGGACCCTGGATTTCCTGACGGACAGGAGTTAAGTTGTCAGATTCAATAAGATTACTTCCCACTCCTCACCACCCGCACAGGGCTGCCACAAAGATACAGTCCCTGTTGTTCTTCTGCCTCCTTACCAACAATATAAGATCAACATCAAACTCCATCAGGATTCAGCAATACACAGACAACACCACAATTGTAGGACTGATCTCAAAAGATAAAGCCTATAGGCTGGAAGTAGAGAAATTAGTCAGGTGCAGGGAAATGACCTGGTCCTGAATGGAAAAAAGACTAAATGATCATCGACCTCAGAACAAAACAATCAATAAAGCATTTATCCTTATCAACAGCCAACTAATTACAATAACTGACTACTTCATTCCTTGGTGCATTCCTGCACATCAGCAATAAACTGAAATGAGACTGCAACTCCAACTGTCAAATGCAAAAAGCTCAATAAAGACTACTTTGTGAGACAACTCAAAAAACATAGTTTAGTGGTCCAGTTTTATACATCCATTACCCAGAGCATTCTCTCACCATCTCTCATGAAAGCATCCCTATCAATGGTGTGCTCAGCTTTGAGATGGATTTTAACAGGCAAAAAGCTTCCTCACTTTTTTCAACATTTACATACAGTAATTCAGACAAACTAAAGCTAAAGATTTAGTGTGTAGATTATTCACATGTCTCAGCAAATTCATGCTTTTATCATTTATCTTTTCACTGGCAAACTGGTTTGTAATCTACATTAGTGGCAGAAGATGGGACATCTAAAAACCTCAAATGTCCGAGGCTGACACACTGAAATACATAGATTTTGGCTTCTTTATTTAAAGGACAAATAAATGCCAGTGGCATAAATGGTGCGTCTCCATATGTAAAATGAGCTGCAGTTTATCTGAATTGTGTAAATTCTAATTTAATAAGCTGCGATGGACTGGCGACCTGTCCAGGGTGTACCCCGCCTTGCTCCCGATGTCAGCTGGGATTGGCTCCAGCCCCCCCGCGACCCTGCACGCAGGATAAGCGGTTGACGATGGATGGATGGATAATTTAATAAGATGATAAGTTTCCATAAGTATGGAAAGTAACAGGGCGCCAATATTTTCTGCTGCTGAACTTGGTGAGAGATTTCGGGTAAAACTTTGACAATATTATGTCTGTAGAGGGAAAACACAAGTTTTACTGACTGCTTCAATCACATCACACTGTACTGGCTCGTTAAATGACAACAAGCAGAAGGGATTGAAGGACGCAGAAAGGTAAACAGGTACCAAACAGATTGCTGTCCCTCTTTCTGTCTTGTGTGGTG